GTGTCACATATAGAAATTTTTTGATCTTTGCAACCATAGTAAAACAAAGACTTATATTTTAGATATTTATTTTATATATTTAAATGCCATTTAACAAAGAAAAATCAACCAAAAAAATAAGATCCCGCAAAAAAATGAGTTCGCGTGTCATAGGTTCGCCATCACTGCCCTAGACTCAGCATATGAAGTTCCAGAGTGGGGCTCAAGCACATGTCTTTTGATAAAAGGTTCCCGAATAATCCTAACATGCATCCCATTTCCAGGGAAAAGAGTCACTGAGTTAGGCCAACCCTCCTACATTTCAGGTGAAGAAACTGAGGCACAGAGACAGAAAGTTACCTGCCAGAGGTCCCAAAGAAAATGAGCCCAGCCGGGCCCCATTCCCCACGGAGCAGGAAGAGCCCCTAGGAAGAATCGGGGTGGGCCATCTCACCTGAGAGATGGGGAGCAGGAGGCCCAGAAGGGAAAAGTGAGTTGCCACATGGGGCCCCAGTGACGGCACCTGAACGTAACTCCAGGCTGGGCTCTGCCTCTGTGATTTCCTGGCTTTGTGCTCAGGTCCGGAGAGCTGGGCTGAAGCCAGAAGGAGAAGGTGGGCATGACCGGGCCCCGAGGGTGCCGGGAAGCCCTGGAGGATTCCCACAGCCCATCTGGAGGTCAGGGCACAGTGCCAACTTTGCAGGAAATGGTGGGAAAAGCCCCCAGCCTTTCCACCTTACAGAGCAGGGGCAGGAAGTGGCAGCAATCTGACTCCAAAATGTGCCCACCAAACCCAGCGAGGCCACCATGATTCAGTCACGCCCACAGCCTGTTGGGAAAGTCCCCCGAGGAGCCCTTCTCTCTGGGGAGGCAGATGGACAGCCTGGGGCCCACCACAACCCATTTCCCAGTACACCCTGTACCCACAGCCCTGTTCCCAGGCTCAGCTCAGAGTTGGCCTACACCGAGAGGTGCCGCCATCACCATATGTGTCCTGGGCTGCGGAGTGAGCTGATCAGACCACAGAGAGTGCACTGAGCTTACACAGCTCACCCCTCAGAATTGGGGCCAGGCCTTGGATACACTGACATTCAGGTATCCTGGCCACCACCTCTGTCCTCCGGTGCAGGGGTGGGAAATGTCCATCCCACTGGCCATATAAGGCCCAAAAAATCATTTGGGGAAGTGGCAGCAATCTGACTCCAAAATGTGCCCACCAAACCCAGCGAGGCCACCATGATTCAGTCACGCCCACAGCCTGTTGGGAAAGTCCCCCGAGGAGCCCTTCTCTCTGGGGAGGCAGATGGACAGCCTGGGGCCCACCACAACCCATTTCCCAGTACACCCTGTACCCACAGCCCTGTTCCCAGGCTC